ATGAGATACTCGAATCTAATACTAAATTAATCGAGTTTAATAAAAACTACAGGTCTATAGAAATAAGTCTGATATTGAAATAGTATATAGGTTTGATGAGCTATTGCTCTGCAATAGATTGCAAACTACCCTAGAAAAAACAAAAATAGATTAATTAGAATCTAAGACTCTTTTCATCTCATATTTAGCTTCTTCTCTTTCTTTGTGATTTTGTGCAAGCCTAGCTTATAAGTCATTCATTTCATCTACTTTTTTTATCAGAATATCAGTTATACTAATCTTATTAGCTAAAAGCCAGCCTCTGGTCTAATAGAACTGGATCTTGGTTTTTTTTCTTTGACTGCCTATCTGAAGTACTATTTTTGGGTATTATTTCAGAAAAAACAACACTATGTATTAATTGCTGTTTGCGCAAAGGTATTTCTTCAGCATGTCTCTTTCAAATTTCATATATTCTACAAGTTGAAGTACTATATTTATAAGCCATTTCCCTACATGCATTTTTAACAGTCCCTCAAGATTGAATGATTTTCTCAATAGCTTCTGGTGATAAATAAGAAGTATCAGTATGATAATATTCTACAGTTATGTATTCCATCTTTTTTATAATTATAAAAAATTATCAAAAATTATTAAAAATTCTAAAATATATTTATATCTCTTATGATAAAAAATAATCAGTAATTATAGATAATTATATACTTAATATTCAATAATTTTCTAAAAAAATCAGTAATTATCTATTTTTGTTGATTATATTAGAAGTATAATTTCTTTGATGGTATTACCAGATAAGTATATTTATATCATATATATATGTTCTATATTTTGCTATTTTTCATAATATTTTTTTTATTTAATATGGCCAATGTGATAGACCTTAAGAAAAAATTATATAACACTCTCCAAGATTCTTCTGAGATAGTCTCATATAATGCTAAATTGCAGGATAAGTATGAAAAACAAGAAAAAGGTTTTAACCAAGAGAGAAACAAGTGGGATCAGAATAGAAAAAAGTAAAGTAAAAAACTAGAAGGAGTTGTTAGTGAGAATCAAAACTTGCAGTTTGAAAATGCTAGCAAAGTTATTTCTCTTGCTAATTCTAAATCTGAGAATATTACAAAATCTAAGAGAATTAGATTACTAGAGTCTATAATCAAAATATTGGAAAGTAAGTTATCCTCAGCCCAGAAAGATGTGTTTTCGATTTAGAAAAATTTTTCAAATAAAGAATCTGAGGTATTGTCTTTCAAATCTAAAATAACTGAATTAGAATATGAGTTAGCTTTAAATATTAGTGAATTGGAGCAAATCTAAGGATATGTCAGTATCTATAGTTGGTAAAACAATGAAAAAAATATAACCAAGTCTAATGATATATCTGCAGTTAATGAATCTAGCAAAAATTTTAGCCAATATTATATATGCAGAAAAAGTATGGATCAAGTTGGAAAAATCAATAGTAATATCTCAACATATACCAATAATGAGATTACCAAACTCTTAAAAAATAATACTAAGATTAACCCAAAAGTAAGTGACGAAATCGATATTAGCAAAACTAACAAAGATAATATGCTAGATATATTGATAAAACCTAATATATTAGAGGCTATACCTCAAAATATGATTCCACACCTTGCTCAAAGAGAAAATATATTCTTTTTAATACAATCAAATTCCCAGATGAGATCTAGTTTCAAGGCTTCGCTTTTTCCAATAGAAGCAATCCCTATTGTGTCAAGCACTTTGATGTCACCTTTATCAGCATATATTTTTCTTACCCTATTAATTATTGCTATTATGTGGTTTATTATATTAAGAAGCACATGAAATATGGGTAAAAAAAGTGATCGGCTATGGGATACGTGGGTTAGATAATCTAGTATTAAAATTTCTAAATATTTTAGTTAATTTTTCTAAACCTGAAGGAACATTGCTTCACAATAGAAAAAAATATTGAGAATATCAACTTGAAGCATTCCACGAATATTGCCCATATTAGCTGATTGTTTATAAACCTGAAAGAGAATCGAAGATTTGATGCTCTGCATAGTTGCTCTACAATAATAAGTGAATATCTTATTTATCTTTTCAAGATATGAAGTATTCTGCTTTGCAAATTCTAATTCCATTTTGATAACAGTTACCGATTTTATATATTAATAAATAGATTAAATCAAATAAATATATGTATTATTGTGAAGCAATGACCATCGGGTCTATATATTGTTAACTTGATGTATCTTTTCCTGAACCACCCATAATAATTTGTAATGTTGAGCAAGTTCTAAAGCACAGAGACTATTAGGATGATAATAATATTCAATGAATTTATATTGTATTATTATACATGCTCTAATTTTCTTACCAATTTCTCTAGCATATTTGGTTTTTTTGATAGCATTCTGCATCCATAATTCATATCTGTATAATGCATACTCATTATCATAATTATACCCTGAAATAGATTTTTTCTTGACTTTTAGTAAGTACTCATCATAACTTATACCACAGTATTTATTACCAGTACATAAAAATTTCCAATGTCTCTTCATTCCTATATGGTTATAATTTCCTATATTCTTCTTTCTTTGTCCAATATATACTAACTGATCACAAGAGAAACATATTGCTATTCTAATTTTAGAAGCATATGAACCACTATTCAGCAATCATATTAATCTTCTAGCTTCGAGATATTTTTTACTTTAATAGATAATAGATTGTTCTCTCTAAAATATATAAGACATTTCCAAATCTGTTTCATCCACTTACTGGGAGTTTTATTATTGTAAATTTGTAACATATTACAATATTCAATCCATTCAGCATCAGTACAATCAGTTCCATGAGTATTTATACCAACCATTTTATAACTTATTATAGTGTGTTTTTAGAGATTATATGATTTATATCCTATTTAAAGATTATATGATTTATATACTATTTAGAGATTTAGACCTATTGAATTTAATAATTTTATATATTATAAATATGCGATTCAATTTTAGTATGTTAATTTATTTCAAAAAAATTGATTACAAATAAATTATATTTGTATTTTATTAATTTAGAAAAACAGAATATGCATATCCATTATACATAGCAACCGCATAAAAATTTTGCAATTTCATAATGATATATGCTAAAATTTCATTGGCCAAAACAAACCGCAGATCGTCAATACATTTTTCGATTAAAAAAATTAGCTTTTGATATTAGGATAAGGGTGAGCATTAGGATGATAGTAGAAGAAGTGGGGTATATAGCAAAATTTTGCAAGGAATTTTTTTTGCTAAGACGCAGAAAGTAGTTTTGTAGTCGAAATTTTGAGTTATAGACGATTTTTTAAAAAAACTGGCAGTTTGTTTTGTTTTTTACATTACACCTGATCCTGTGTCATGATTGGGTTAAAATCACGTGTCTGCGGATATTTTATGTGGTTGCTATATATAATCGCATATCCAGGCATAGTAATCATATGACATTGTGACCTGTGGGGTCACATACTACCAATTTGAAATACTAACAAATACCAACTTGAACTATTCCATGATGATTTGGTCATGTTCAGTCAAAATGCGATTTCTTGATTTTTTTACTGTACAAATTCAGAATAAGACTTGTGGATTTTAACACGACCACGTAGTGCTAATTTAATTTTTATATGCTGGAAAAAAAATAAGTATTGCGGGACCGCTTTTTATTTTGGTCTAAGTTGAGGCTAAAATAGCGATCACGAGCTATTCGGGTTTATATAAGTCATGGATAGTAATTATTTTTTATTACTATTGCTACATAGTGTTGGGACAATTTTACATGGTTATGGCTTGTGTCACTCTCCTGCAGAATTAATTCTCACGGTCGATTTTTTTATTAATGAATATTACGAATAAAGCGAATAATGTCTAGACCCTTTTCCTTACTTTATATGATATCGCGATAAGAAAGTGACTTAAAAACTTTAAGTTCTATATTCTCGGTTTCAATTTCAGTACATTTCTTTTAAGTTCAAGTATTTCTGCGTTCTCCTTCCTAAGTTTATCAATCTCGGCTACAAGCTTATAATTCAATTCTCTCAACAAGTCGTCTTTAGATTGTATGTTTGCCATTTTTTATATAAAACACGGATATATTCAATTCTTTTATATATTTTCATCGAAACATGCATGCAAACAAAAAATAAATAAATCCAAAACACATGACTGCGTAAAAAAATTCTCGATCATAGGCGAATTAATATACATCAACAACAATAAATAAAATAAACTCATAAAATACACATGCAAAAGTAAACACGATTATGTATGCGAAATCGGTCACCAGGGCAGCTTTATTAATATCGTGTATTTTTATATCAATAAAGTTTTTTTAATTTGTATATTGTCGTTCCGCAACGATTTTTTTTTCGTAAAATAAAGCAGGATTCTAAAAAGTGCTATTATTTTGAAATATAGCTTTGATAGTTGTATGTGGTAGTTTATTGTATCTAGTTTGCCATGAAAATTTCGATCAATGGTGGTGACCGATTCCATTCATAATTAGCACTATCTCAACATAAATACCCTAATAAGCAAATATTCTGAGTTATTATTTATTTATAAAGCAAATTAATTTGTAGTTTATTAATACATGTATATGTATATGCTAGACAACTATTATTCAATATAAGTAGCATATTCTGGAGGTACCCTCATTGACTGTTGTTTTTGGTTGTCCAAATTAAGAACTTCACCGCCATTATACCACAATTCATAGTTCGTAACCCAAGTTATCATGTAACTTTCAGCACCGGCTGCCACTATGCGTGGTACATTTGTATTATTAGTCAGATCTCTGAGTGTTATCCCGGCTAGAATTCGGATGGAATTTCTTTGACCATTTGTAAAATAAATTCTTGCAACGTTTTGATCGACTCTTTGGATTTTTACTAGGATATTATTATCAATAACAATAACGTTAATGGTGTCGTTCTTGTAGGAGAAGCTTTCTCTAAACATAGTAGGCAAGAGGTTGGAATCTGTTTTTTCCATTGTTTTTAATGATTATTATATTTTTGTGAGAAATCATTTCGGATGAGAAATGTTAAACAAGTCCAAAATTTTGTGGTACACGTACCAGTAATCAAAGAGCATGGTTGAAGATCTATTTGATTGGCCAATATGTTACACGAATTTTATATATACATAGATAGGAAAAGTGCCATCTTCGGCTTATAGACAAACTAGTACATCACAAATTAAGTACGTGTGAAACTTTATAGTCGCTTTGGTTATTAGTTCCTTTACTTATTAGAAAATTTAATCAAATATAATCAGTTTCAACAAAGACTTTTATAATAACGGTATTTTCAAAAAAAACACAGTTTAGCAGGTTTAGTGAAATTCTACTACTATTATTTGAAGTCAAAGCTTCGTTCACTCTTTATAATTTTACATACGTACCTAAAAAAACAATTATACTTACTAAGAACTTATTACCAAAAAAAAATAGATCAGTTGTTTCGAAACATAAAGCTTCAAGATTAAAAAGCTTTATTAAAGATAAGCTTTATTTTACCAACTATTCATTTCTCTAATTCTATTTCGCAAGTCCAATTCTAAATCTTGATCAATTTCCAGTTGATTATCATCTTCCTCGTCCAAATCAGCCTCATCTGTGTCATCTGGTTCGTCAATTAGTTCTCTTGCCTCTTTATTTGTCTCTGCGTTTAAACATTTTAAAAATGAATTAACATTGTGCCAGATACCATCTTTAAAATAATTTAAACAGGGCCTACACTTGTTATCCATCTTTTTGTAGCATTCTATGTGGTATCCATGCCCACATATTAAAACAATTCCCTCATTAATAATTAGTTTTGTACGGCAATAATCACAGCCATCAAATAATGGGGGTGATAAGGTACTATATCCGGATGGCATGCTTGTTGTCTCCAATTGTCCTAAAGTAGGAAGATCGTAAATGGTCTGTAAGTTTTTTTTGGTCCATTTTTTTAAAGATGGAATTTTGTTACTAATTAAACTTGTCTCTTCATTTTTTTTATAAATTTTTCGAAATTGAGAAAGAAGAAAGAGACACATCTTATTAGTTAGAAACTTCAAATCTTGTGGAGAGTATAGATATTTAGTTTTTGTTGAAAACATTTCACGAAAGGCTGAATCTTTATGATAATCCAATATGAAGGCTTGTCTTTGTATA